ATCTTTTTAAAGTATTCTCTTTACTGCAAGACATCAGTGCTGATTTGGGAACGAGCTGTTCGTTGCCTGGAGTGGAGGAAGTTCCTTTCCAGGGGCAGGGAGCACCATCTAGTGACCACAGGGCTGCCCACAGGGCAGGGAACAGGGAAAGGCATGGGGACATTCCCACATTCCCTTCTGTGCTGGCAGGGAGGGACTTTAGAGGCACAAAAGCTTGGAAGCAGTGCTGGAGGACAAGATGCTTTTTGTGGGATGCAAGTTGTGTCATCCCCGTGATCAGGTAGGGATAATTATTTTAATTACATGCCTTTATGGGCTGCTGACCTCCACGTGGTGTTTGGATTTTGGGGAATGCAAGTGCCAGACTCCTGGAGCTGACCTCCACGTTTCCAGCCATGGGTCAGTGCGTGTGAGCCCATCCCAGAGCTGGATCCCCTTTTTCCCAGGATGGAGTTTATCCTGGTCCCTCAGACCTGGTGCTGCATCAAAGCCACTCAGGCATGGAAAGAAGAGCTCCCTGCAGCAGCCCCAAGGGCACAGCATTCCCAGGGTCAAGGGACCAGGGGGTCTGGGGAGCAGAGCCCATCACCCCAGAGCTGCTGATCCTGCAGCCCCATACTGGAATTCCTTTTTCTCCCGGGCACTTTCACTGTTAAAACCCTGATTGTGAGACTTTTATTTGTGCTGAGGGGAGATTCTACCCCTCTGTGAGCAGATTCACCGATACTTCCATCAGAGCCCGTGGAAAACTGGGAATTAAAGGGAGACAATCCAGTTGAAGGGCTTGGTAAGAGCGTACTTGACCCTCTCACAGCAAACTGGGCATGGCCAAACTGATGTTGGGAGCTGCGTTTAGGCAAAATGCTGAATTCTTTTGAGAGGATTGAGACCTTTACAAATGTGTCTTCATGTGCCATGAAGTAGCAGTAATTTGCTTGGACTTCTTAAAATCTGCTTCCAAAAACTGCAGTGCAGATTCTTTTACTGTGCTCCAGTTTTTTGATTTGTAGCCTGCTTCTTTCTAGAGGAGAGTCTCCTTTTTACCTGGAGGGTTGGTGAGAAGAACAAAACTCACTTCTTTGGAATGCCCTCTTCTTTTCTCTGCTGTCTTTTCTTTTAATACCCACATCTGCAGACACTGTATGTACCCATACCAAGCACAACAGAAAGATGAAGGTATCTCCAGTTTTCCAACAATTTACCCAAAAATTTTTGTACAGTCCAAGGGATGAAAGTCACCTTATTACCATAGCAGAGTGTGTCTCTAATCTCTTGTTCAGCCCAGAACAGAGTTCTTGCTTTACCTCCCACACAAGAAAGATTACAGATCTATTTACATAGGGAGTATTGTAATGTATTTCCTCCATATTTCATAGAATTCTGGAATGGTTTGGATTGGAAAGGGATCGTAAAGATCTTCTGATTCCAACCCTCTGCTTTGGGCAGGGACACCTTCCACTGTCCCAGGCTGCTCCAAGCCCCAGTGTCCAACCTGGCCCTGGGCACTGCCAGGGATCCAGGGGCAGCCACAGCTGCTCTGGGCACCCTGTGCCAGGGCCTGCCCACCCTGCCAGGGAACAATTCCTGCCCAATATCCCATCTAAACCTGCTCTCAGTTTGAAGCCATTCCCTGTGTCCTGTCACTCTATGCCCCTGTGACAAGTCACTCTCAGCTGAACCCATGCAAAATGCATTTTTGGTGTTCAGGTGAGTATTCACATACTGAGCATATTTCTAGTACATCCCAGAAAAGATGCAATAAGCAAAACAACTTTTTTATTTGGAATTTCATCTTCTTCATTTAGGACTCAGTCTGATTGGGGTTTTTTTTTTTCATGATCAAACCAAATCTTCAGGTCTGTCCAGGCCCTGTTGTTTTAAGCAGGCTTAGATCAGCATAGATTGGATCCTTCATGTCCAGTTTGTGAAGATCTTCTCTAAAGAGGGAACTGTTGAGTCCTAAAGGTAGAAAGCACTTCGAGCAGAGTTTAAGGGTGTTCAGGAAAGAGTTTAAGCACGGCTGTAACTCTAAAGCATGTGCAACTGCCCTGCTTTGATCACAAGACTTAAGCACATGTTCAGTGTTAACACATGCTGGGCAGTTTTGCTGCTCTGTAGTTCCCAGATGCAGGCTGAAGGTAGGAGAATATTCCAGCTGAAAGGAGCCAGGACAAATTAGGGTGACAAGCTTCAGAGAGAAATTAGAGGGGAGCATTAGGTGACTTGTGTGGATTTTTTTTCCTGTTTTTATTCTGTTTGTTGAACAAGTTTTTCAAACTCACAGACCATCATTTCAGACAATAACAGAGTTGCCTAACAAAAGAAAAGCATTTTTTCTTTCTATTTAACCTTAAAAAAATCAGAAAAGAGAAAAATAGTAGAAGTGTTTGTACTCTTTTTCTTTTGCAACTGGATGATGGTGATTTGATAACCCAATATTTTCCTTGCCTCACAGTACCAAAGCTCTGCTTGCAATTGGATCAGCCTCAGCGTAAGCACTCAGAAATCTGCCTGTGGGTATTAGTTTGAAAGTCAAATAAACTTCACTGGATTCTTTGGCACAGAATGTATGCCAGCTTAAAATGGCAAAATCCTTCCTGGGCTTTGGGCTCTGTAAAACTTATATAATAATAATAGAGCTCAGCAGTGCTCCTTATGCTTCCAAAATCCTTGTGTAAACCAAGAGGAGGTTTGTGTATATGGAGGTGGGATGGAGAAGAATCATTACTAAAAACTGCTTGTGAATGAATTAGTTAGATCCTCTCCACTGGGGAGCTGGAACTGATACTTGCAACCTCTCGATATATTGGAGGAAAAACCAAAATATCAGGGGCTTAACTGGAGTGGAAGTCACCCAACTGAAACATTATACAATGCTTTGAAATTTCAAGAGAAAGGTTCTAATCTTTTGGCTGTCTTGCTCATTGTTTGGAGATGAAAAGGGAGGAAATCAACATCCCCATGAAATACAATTACTATAAATTGCTTTCTTTTCATACTGTTCATAATGAAAATAGGAAAGTTACCTACTCTGCAGGAGCACTGTAATTTGGTGGATGTAGACTGCAAGAGCACATTCAGCAGTGCAACACTGCATTTCTACATGAACCAACAAATGGAGAATATAAAATATTGTATAGCAGTGCTGACTCCACATTGCTCTGAAGCCACGAAAATAATATTTTCAGTGGAAGAATCCTTAAAGTGAACTCTAATACTGAGCTGATCTTGTGCAGGGAGTTGATCCTGAGTCCCAAAGATTGGATTTGACCATCTTGGAGCTCTTTCCCACCTCAGTGATTCTGTTTGTCACTGCTGCATTCAGGGGTTCCCAGCTCTGAGGTCCCCGTGGGACACCTGGAAATGGGAATTTCCTGGATCTGGCAGGGTCATTCCCACGAGCAGGGGAGGGTGGATGAGCCTTGCTCTGCCCTGCTTTGGGGGAGATGGAGCAGGACAAATGAGTGAGGGACTCTGTGTGCACCTCTGGAAAAATGCATTTCACCTTTCTTGGGTCAGGATAGGAGGGGAAAAGTGAGCTGGGACTTTCTGCTGTCTTTGTGCGGAAAAATTGTGTGTTGAATGGCAGCAGTCATCACCAGCCACAGAACAACGCTCCCATTTCCTTTTTTGCTTTTTCCTAAGGAGCAGGAGAAGGCGGCGTTGGGAGAGGGTGAGGTCATCTGCTTCCACTAAATAATGCTGCAATGAGCCATTCACTATTTCTTGTTCTTTTTATCGTACCAGAGTCCCTGGTCAGAGGGCAGGACCTTACTACAGCTGGAATTATCTTCCAGGCAACCTGTCCATGGTTGGGTGTTGTCATAGGGAGCAGTGAGAAATTATAAACCTGTTAGAGCAGGACCAGCTTTTTGAAATTGTTTTTTTAAAAATAAATGAATTCTGACTCATTCTAATTTTTCCTTCTGTTTTTGTGGGTTGTATTTCCAAGCTTTTTTTCTTCAGGCTGAAATCTCAGAATCTCCTGACACCAGGAATTGTATCTTTTATGAAAACATAGAAAACTGCGAGGCTCCTAAGTGTGAAAGGGTTGTGCCAGCACTGGATCCTGAGTGGAATACCCTGGCTGGTACTGTGGAAGCACTCTCTGCCTTTCTTACCTTTTTTTAAATTTTTTTTTATTTTTTTTTTAATGTTCAGGTCTCTTACACAAAGGCCTGTGACAGGGACAGTATTTTGTTTGCACAGCTGGGAATTCTGGGGTGCCCCATGACTGTCAAGTGCTCCAGAAGGACAAATAAAAATATAACACTGAATAAAAAACGGCCATCACATTCTAACCAGGAAGGGAACTGCCAGTGAAACCATCTCATTTCCATTCATGGATAGAGCTGCGAATTAAGGGAAGAACATGGAAGATTTAAGACTGTTTGTGGCATTCAGGCATCTGCTTTTGAAGTTTTATGTCATTTTGTGACTTCCTCTCCTCAGTAAGAGAGAGACATCAAAAAGAAATTATTGTCCCCAACCTATCTGCTTCTTCTCTAAGGAAAAAAAGTGCTAAATCAGATAGGCTGGAAAGCGTCAATAGCTCAGGAATGCAGGAATGAGGTTAATGGACAAATATAGAGGTGGTGTAAGCGGGGCCAGACCTCATTAACATATTTGGAGTTACACCCATTTATACCCAGCCTGGCTTTGGCCCTGGATCAGCAATTCCCCAGTGAACAGCCTGCATCAAACCACTGCTGAATTTGGCCCATTTCATCTGACATCTGCATCCTGCCTCGAAGTGGCCTGTCACACTTACTGCACATCAGATCACACCTGCCCAGGCGGCCACGGGCAATTGACTTTTTTGTTTGAAAAAACAACAAAAAAGCAACAAAATTAAAAAAAAAAAATCAGTCACATATCATCAAGAAAAACAACATTGTTTTAGGACTCTTATCTCTTCACTCCCAAATATCCTGTTTCTTCGAGCTGCGGTGGCCAGGACCAATAGAAACCTCTTCCTGCCATTGGCTGACTTCATTTCCCAGAGTTAGCACAATCTCATCCGCTCTAAACAACCTCATCAAAACTTCTTTCTGGTCAGAGCGAAGCAATAATTATTATTAGCAAATATTAGCGATCAATAACCTTGATCACATTATGGCAAGCACTATTAAGGTAAGGAGGGGGTACCTTTTTTTGTTGGAATTTTTTTCTCACTGGCGTGTTCTTTGGTTTCCTTTATCAACCTAGATAAGTTAGAATTGGGCAACACCCCCACTGCCACAATAGAGGACAACAAGATTTCCTTTGTACTGCCTAGTAAATTTCCTTTTTCCTACTCCAACCATCCGCAAGGCTTAAAAACTTCAAACTCGGAAAAAAAATTGGGTTTTTTAAATTCACTGTTCAGTGGTGTGGATTGCATAGACGAAGCCCTTTTGTGAGAGCTTCTGAAATTTCTTGTAGGTATCCCTCGGACAACTTGGATGTGTTTGTGGACTGCCATGAGGGGAGAGGGTGTGCACTGGAAGGAAAAACCAGGCTCCTAAGGGCACTAAACTTTTGGATACTTTGAAATGTTTCTCTTGCGGATGGGGACACAAATGGGAAGGAGAGGCACCAGCTCTTGTTTCTCTCTCTCATGCAGGTGTTAATTATGTGTTTTTCTAGAAACTCTTAACCTTAAACTCGGGACCTTTCTGAATGTTATTTTAATGGTGGTGGGAAGATCTCTCGGGCGTGTTCTTTTTTATTGTTTTAATTTTTCGGACAATAAAAATCTCTTCTTGGTGCATAACTTGATCTCGGTGCATGGTTTGTTGGCTTTGGTTTTTTTTTTTTTTAAGAATGGCTTTGCTGAGTTTTTTTGGGCTGTGTCACTTAGAAAGTTGAATAAATCTGTCTGTCTAGTTTTTGTTTGTCTGGACAGCAGTTACAAATAGAGCAGTAGCTGTGATTAATTGCAAAATGTAACGGTAATTAAATGCTTTGTGATAGTGAAACTAATTTTACATAAAGAGCATGGACAGGGAGGACTCTGCGGTGTTGTTTTATCAGGTTTGGGATCAAGGTATTCTCGGATTCAGGACTGAGGTATTTGTTTTCTTCGTGGCATTGTCTGTTTCTGTACTTTTCTAATTATGTCAGAGATGTAATGAGGGGTATGGAATAGCCTGGCTGTTGGATAAGTAGGGCTGCAGTTGGGTTTTTCAGTAAATTCTGCTCTAGTGTTTACATTTCAGAGATCATTTGATGCTTTTTGTTACGGTTTTGGGAAGCTGACAGTAGTGCCCGAGGGCAGTGTGATTAAAAAGTCAAATTAACCTTTTGTTTTTGCAATCACTGATGTTTTCGATGTTTTCATGGGGCTATCAATAGAGACATAGATCTGACTCTCCTCTGCACTTCTGGCCAGCATCTGTTAAATGCTAAGTAGCTCCTGAAGCTGAATTCCCTTTGGTTTTGCCGTGCATTTCAGGGCACACAGGACATGACAGGCACTTAATGAAAATCTTGAGTTTCAGGGAGTCAAGTTTTGGCTAAAAGGAGGGCTGTGTACTGAGGTTTTAATGATGGGTTTGCTTCTATTAATCAGAATATTGATATGAAATATATTTTCAAAAGTAATGGCACCCACGAGATGGGATGCCTTTTGCGTTTTAGGTAACTCCTATTATTTATTTCATTTATGTTTCATATTGGCTGAATTTTAACAGGCTAGAAGATTGTTAAATGGTACCTAATTGTTATTATTTGATCTCCACCTTACACTTAGAGAACTGTTTTACGCAGCCTGGTAATGCAGTGTATTCAGCAAAATGTAAAATGTACAATTCTCTCTCCTCATCTGGAATGCGAATCTTGTAGGAGGTCTCAGGCAACCCAAAACGTTGAGGATTTTGCTGCCCAGGCTGCTGGGAAGGCCTTACACACTGCAGCAAGAATTAAAATTTTATTTATGCAAGTGCAAAATGTGAAATGACTGGAAAGAAATGACAGGTGCTTTGTATTCGAGGTGCAGGAAATGTGCTCTGACATGAGGCTGAGACGGTCCAAAGATTCTCAATTCCTCTTCTATGGGGAGTGGATAAAGAAGCCTTTTAACTGAAGGGTTTCTGAAATGAAGACACTCCGTTTGAAGGCCAGGCAGGTGTTTGTTTAGCTTTTGCTAAACTGCTACACACACATATATATATATTTAATCATATAAATATTTAATGAAATAGCTTGTGTTGTCTGGTGGCAGTGGATTGTCCAGCTCTCCCTGGGTGCTTGAGGAAGGTGGAGAGCCTTATCTGGGAATTCACTGGCTTCTTTAGGGAAGCTGTGGAGCCGCTAAATTTCAGAATTAGGATGTGAATGGCTCTGTATTTGTTCACAACGGGGCAGAGACTTCTCGGAACCTGCATCCGTGCAAAGGTGACCTTCCAGTCAGGGTGTCTGATTCATCCTTTCCCTCTCACCACCCTGCAGACCGACCCGTGGGACACTGGGGCTCGGCAGGAACCCCGCTGCTTTCACTGGGGCTCGCTGGGCTCTGCGCAGGCAAACCCTGCCGGGAGATTTTGGGGGCTGGGAGTGAGTTTTTGGGTGCTGGGTTTGACATCCTGAGTGTGGTTTTCACTCTCTCCTCACCCCGTGCCCTCCTCCTGCTGCCCCCTGTTCCTTTTTCCCTGGGAAGGCGAAAGTGCCATGGTGGGAGGTTTGTCCTGAAGAGGAGGAGGAGGATGAGGCAGCAGCAGCTTTTTCCCAAGCTCTGACAAGGATAAATAATATTAATCCTGACTTTCCCACTGGACCATCCTTGCCCAGGCCAGGGATCTGTCCCTTGGATGGGGAGAGGTCAGCGTAAGAAGCTGTGGAGAGGAAGGTGGTGCAAGAAGGTGCCTCCCCAAACGCAGGATTTTGGGTTGATATTTCATATCCCAATACCTGGTGCACACTCAGCTCAGCTCTCTGTTATGTTTCTTTGGAATTTTGAAGGATGAAAAGTGGTTTTTCAAGTGGAAAAAGTCTCCTTAGAGTGAAGATTTCAGTGCTGACAGGTTTCCCTCTGGCTCAGGTGGTGTCTGACAGCTCTGCGGCAGCACAGCAGTGCAGAGCACTGAAGCTGAACATTATCAAATAAAGGCAATTATTTATATTTATTAGTCACACTAACTACTGCAAATACAATTTTAGAATTTGGCATCAGACTTTTGTTTGTGTTTTGCCTTTTTTTAATAGAATGGAGCAAAAATTATTTAAGAGTTACCTTGGGGTGCAGTAAAAATAGTCATCCTGGAGGTCATTTTGGTGGTTTTTCCCATTAAATAGAAAAGTACAACTAGAATTCTAATTCCTTGCCATGTTCAAGCCTTGCTCTGTTTCTCTCTTCGCCTGCCAGTGCCATTATGCTTATTCTTAGAAAAACTCTTCAGTAAGTTGACTTTATAAAGATTTATTGGTTACACTTGTGGATATTTCTTTCTTTTTTTAACTTACACCTAAATATGCTCACATCCACTCATCATTATTATTTACTGAAGTGATGTTCATATGGAATCTGTGATTTCAGGGAGAAAAAGTCTGTGTGTTTGATAAAGGACAGGAGAATCTTTGTGGTTTCTGAGGCTTGAGGGTGTGGATGCACTGATTAAAGCAGAATATAGGAGGCAAGATGAATTTTTTTTGAGGAATCTTACTCCATTTTTGTTTCTGTAGCATTACTTTTCTCTCACTTTCTTTTAGTAACTCCAAGTAGTCACTCAAATGCTTCTGAAAGCTGGAGACAGTTAAGAAATAAATCTGTTCTTGGCATTCTATGGAAATGTTTAAGGCTTTGTTTGGAGGATTGCATCTGCACTGGGTCCAGCAGAGCTGACGCAGTAATTTGTACTTTTGTTCCTTGCATTAGAACAATTATGAAGATTATTACCTTTTACCCCCCCCCCCCCCCCTTTTCCAGTCTACCCCGGTCACATTTGAATGTTT